AGACACCACACACAGCCCTGGTGAGAGCACACAGCCCTGGTGAGACCATACACAGTCCTGGTGAGACCACACATAGCCCTGGTGAGACTGCACACAGCCCTAGTGAGAACACAGAGCCCTGGTGAGACACCGCACACAGCCCTGGTGAGACCACACGCAGCCCTGATTAGACCACACGCAACCCTGATGAGACCCGACACAGCCCTGTTGAGACCGCACAGCCCTGGTGAGACCCGACACAGCCCTGTTGAGAATGCACAGCCCTAGTGAGACCGCACAAAACCCTAGTGAGGCCACACACAGCCCTGATGAGAACGCACAGCCCTGGTGAGAAGCCACGCACAGCCCTGGTGAGAAGCCACGCACAGCCCTGGTGAGAAGCCACGCACAGCCCTGGTGAGAAGCCGCACACAGCTCTGGTGAGACATAGTGCAAAGTCCTGGTGATACTGCACGCAGCCCAGGTTAACCGCACACAGCCCTAGTGAGACTGTACCGCTCTGGATAGACAACACGCAGCCCTGATGAAACCACACGCACAGCACTGTTTAGACCACACACAGCCCTGATGAGACCGCACACAGCCCTGATGAGACCGCACACAGCCCTGGTTAGACTAAGCACAGCCCTAGTAAGAGCACACACAGCCCTGGTGAGATGCCACACACAGCCCTGGTGAGAAGCCGCGCACAGCCCTGGTGAGACTGCACGCAGCTCTGGTGAGACTGCGCGCAGCCCTGGTGAGACTGCGCGCAACCCTGGTGAGACTGCGCGCAGCCCTGGCAAGACCGCACAGAGTGGTGAGACCCCGCACAGCCCTGGTCAGACCTTGCACAGTCTCCTGAGACCCCACACAGCCCTGGTGTGCAACACAGAGTATCTAGCTTCATATTATTCTGCACTGCTGTAAATTTGTATTGCAGGGATTTGTAGTCCTTTTTAGCTGGTGGTATTCTGCTTTGCTGTATAATGTATTGCTGGGACTTGTAGTCCCTCTAGAGCTTGGAGTCAGTGGCAGAACTACCAGGGACATAGCTGTCTGGCACTCCACCACTGTCCTAAAATCATTAGCCTGTATTGTTTTAGAAAAACTGTCACATGACACAAAAAAATCGGTAATTGGTATCGGCGAGTACTTGTGGAAAACTATCGGTACTCGTACTCGGTCTTGAAAAATTGGTATTGGTGTATCTCTACGTCCAATGGTATACTAAACAGACCAAAAGGGAGTAAGTAAGAGAAGTTCCTTGTTAGCTCATTCAAAATGAATATCTATATTACAGCAAAGCAACGTGTGAATGGACCCTGTGGTCTGTAATATCATTTAACCCAATAGTTACTCTATCAACTATCAAAGTGTGGAATTACCAAGGCTAAGGACTGGAAGAAATGGGAAATCTCTGCAGTTGAGACTTTTTTCCAGTACAATAGGGACATGTTAGAACCTCTGTCAGGTTACTAGTGCTGACTGTTTCTTTCTGTCCCAATCACAACTGCTCCCCCTCATTACTTGTTTTGCACACACAGGAACAGAAAGTGAGATTAACCCTTTTGCTACGGGTACCTGAGCTATTTTTGCACATGTTATAATCCACATTTTTGGCCTGAAATTTACCTAAAACCCCCGAGAGTTGTATATTTTCTGAAAGCACAGACACTGTAGAATGAGATGGTGGCAGGTGCAAATGTCTACATCACATTATATTAGCACAACTTTTTATGAAACCCAAAATTTCAGTAAAAATTACAATGAAGTTAAATTTAGTGCACAAAAACACAATATAATACCCATTTTCTGGGAAAATATAAAAGATGAGCTTGTGCTGATGCTGCTGAGTAAATAGATACCAAACATGCCAAGCTTAGAAATTGCATGCGCCCATGAAACGGCAAAAAATATAATACCTCAAATTGTCCATAGGTTAGGCTTTAAAAGCATGTACAAGTCATCAGTGTAGAGTTATCCATGAATATTGGCCCTAGAATTATTGCTCTCACTCTGGCGCGCTTGGCACTACCTAACGTGTAGTGCAATCATTGTTTTCATACATACAGTATGCGCACTTGATGCATGTTTGCGTAATGTGAATGTCCAAGTCCCATCGCACTCCTGACCAGTAAGTCCCTTAGGAATAGGTGGGTGCAGCAGTGACAAATAGATCGCACCCCATGAAAGAAAGGGTCACTGGCACTCCAGTATGCTGATGTGCCTTTATTGACGCATGCTCAGTATCACATTAGAATGCACGCGTTCAGAGGGACAGGGGACAACATTTTTTGGGGTATTTTGAAAATGTATTTCATTTAACTTTAAAAAAAATTTTTTACTTAACTCCATTGCTATCACACACCACATGTGATAGCACATTTGAGGTGACAGGTTCCCTGGTGACATTAGGGGTCTATTAGAGGGACAGCAGAGCCTGGAAAGCAAGGCAGGGGGTGTCGGCCAGGGGGGCTCTGGAGGGGGGTTCCAGATGGAGTCCATTTACAGGAGCCCGCTGTCACTGTCAGGTCCGTAAGGCATACATTGTGACAATGAAAGGATCCAACTCCAGAAATAACACCCTTGAGTGCCCACACACACTAACACACTAACACACACACACTGTAGAGGGTAAATGCTTATTTTTGTCTAGGGGTAGAAAAATAAGCTGTAACACTTACCGTATTCAACGCCCTGGCAGGCTCCCTCCATCTGAGAAGCCTCCTCTCTGAGGCCCTCTGGCATGTAGTCGCATGCTTAACTCTTCCACATTCAATGCAGGACTACTAGTCCTGCATTGCACATGATGGCGCCTAGAGACTGGCGACAGCCCGGAGCATCAGGGAGAAGAGGAGAGCAGAGGATCCTGCCAGAGGTAGGAATACTGTAAGTAATACAACCTCTTCATCTCTCCCCAGAGTTACCAAGCATTTAACACAGGTAGCACAGCTAGCAATAAAAACTGGAGCTTTGCTTTGAAGCTGCCTTGCCTTCTTAATAAAATTGCTAGGAGAGTATTTTATCCGTCGACACTCTGCCAAAAAAAACTCCCTTTGTCCTAGCAATTCATTTCTTTGTGTACACTGCGAGTGGTATGCTCTGAACACACTCAGTCTGCACTCATCTATAAGAGCCCAGTGGCAGTATAATGTATCTCCAGTGAATAAATGTGGGGGTGACATCAGCGCTGGCAGGCCAATGGAGAATGAGAGCTGAAGCTTTATGGTGGAGAAGATGACAGCGACAATGGAGAGGGGATGGGGCATGGACCTTTCATTGCTGGAGAAGGAAAATCCAAAGCTGGCCATATGCTGATCGCATCGCGACCATTTTTTTGTTTAAGTTCGATCAGTGGGTGACCTCACCAACATCACCCGGCTTGATAAAGGTGGATATTTCAACTGGATTTTTGCAAAAGGAGCCAGGTAGAAAATTGTCAGCCAAACAATGACTTCAGCCAATCAGCTGCAGCCACTGTACGGGAATTTGGACCAGCCGTCATACTACATAGCTGTCAGGGGAGATTCCTCCATCCACACTGCTTAGCGTTGATGGGGAAATCCAGTGATTTTTCTTGTGCTGAACAAAATAAATTGTATGGTGAATGGCCAGCTTTTGTCTGCTGTGATGTGGAAGGATACTGTGGATTAGGGATATCCAGATACCAGTGCTGATACTTGGCATTTTCATGAGAACTACCAGGGTTGCAGCGGTTGCAGCTGGGACAGGGCTCTGGCGCTCCACCATTGTCCTGAAATCATTAGTCTGTATTGTTTTAGAAGAACTGTCACATTAAACAAAAATGTATCAGTACTCATATCTGTGAGTACTTGGGCAACTATAGGTACTTGTACTTGAAAAATAGTATCGGTTTATCTTTTATACAGTATATACTGATAAAAAAAATCATACATTAAAACAAGGATGCACAAATTCCAGGAGCTCTGTGTCCCTCCTAACTTTTGAGTTTTTCTCTAGTCTAGTCCTGAAGCTGGAAAAGTATCTGTACTTGTACCGAGTAAAGAACTTGGTATCTGAACATCCCTACTGTGGATAATTTATATTAGGGCAAGTGCTGCAGTGGTCTCAGCAGCCTCCAATCCTTCGTAACTTTGAATTAGCTGGAAATGTCTACCATATGTTAAAGTGACATTAAAGGCAAATTGTTTTCCGTCCCCCTAATGTTAATGAAAGTACTTACCTTAAATTATGTCTCTTAATCCGATCTTCCTCTTCTTTCCTGTCCTTTTCAGCCTTCTCTCCAGCGGTGGTGCCAGTCTCCGATCCAGCGCTGACTCCTCTGTCCTTGCTGGCACTTCCTGTCCCACGGTGTCTGCATGCGGGTGCACGCGTCCATAGACTTACCTTGCGTCTCTTCTCGTCTCCCGGCCGAAAATCCGAACTGCGCATGCGCCCGACCCAAGATGCTTTGCGGCCGCCCGAGCATTTCCCGATTTTCAGACGGCAGCGCGTGGCGAAGACAGGGGTAAGTTTAAACCGTTTTTAAAGCGTTTTTAAAAAAAACTTTTTGCATATACTGTATCTACTGCTTGCTAGCAGTAGATGTATGGAAAAAACGGAGGGTTTAGAAACCCTTTAGGACAGAACTCGTTTACATTGCAATATCATATTACTGTACTCCAATTTTATTTTTTGTTGTTGTTTCTTTCTAATAAAGATTACTTGGATAATAAAGTACATGCGAGTAGATGCTGAACAGTTCAAGGACACAGATGTAATCCAAAGCTTTTTAGGTATTTGTTTCATGAGTATTACTCACTCATGGGGCCAGAGTAAATGATTCCTAATAATTCTATAGAAGATCTTGTATTGTGTATTGGGCTGGTGCAATGGGTGCTCATCTATTGCAGCTGACAGATGTGCGGTGACTCTGGGGATATGCACAGTAATAATGATCTGTTCCTTCCTAGGGGGGTAGAAAGAGATGTGGGGGATTTCACCTCCTCCTCTCTACGTCCCCTCCTCATTCAGTAGTCTCTATGACGTGGCACACACACAAACATATATACACAATCTGCCTAGACTTCCTTGTCTGTCTGCATTCCCCTCTCTAGCAGAGCACAAATCTCACTCTACAAATGTGGCTGCCATTGCTGCTGTTTGGCCTCTTTCAGCCCTTGTTGGGCTATGAAATTGACTGGAACAAGTTAGAAAAGATGGCACGGGCAAAGGTGGAGGTGAGTGCAGCCAAATGCTATTCTACGAAGGGCTCAGGGCCCTGTAGGGTGTAATTGTGCAAACTCTTGCAGAGAAAGCAGCCTGCAGGCTTGTATAAAGGATTATTCCAGGCATGGCTTAACCTGGTCACTGCCAAACATCTCTATAATGCAACATCTGTTAGATTTCTCCTACTGGCTAGGGATAACCCAGGGGTGGCTGTAATGGGATCTAACATATTTGTGTTTTCTTCACAGTCATGTGGCGGATGACAGCTCAACAGGCTGAAAGAGGTAAGATGAAAGCATATTGGAAGAATCAAATTGTATGTAATAAATTGGGCTATAGCAAGTCCTGATATTTTGCTGGCTGCTGAGATTTGTATGACACCGATGACCCAGGGATGGATTATGCCTCCAAGCTAATGCTAATGGATGTTAGATGTTCCAGCTGTTACACTTGTAGGTCATATTGGCTGTGTGAGTTCGGTTGTGTTGTAGCAGGTTGATGACGATGCATGCCACCAAAGCATTGTGTACATAGAACTGGTTAGAAAGGTCAAACAGTGATGACAAAAATCACAAAACATATTAATGGTCTGTGCATTGTAAAAAGACTAATACCTGGATCTGTGAGCAAATGATGACCACAGGACGCTGGACCTCATATGGCAGGGAGTCAGTTCACTGGCTGCAGGGTTTTCATTACTATGCAATATTTGTTCTCAGTCTATCCTTTCAATTTACTAAATGTTTTATTGCACTAATTAGTTTAATGCACCGCATACATTTTATGTATCGATTTTGTGGCTTCTATTTTTTATGTAAGTCAATTCATAAAAGTTATCGCAGGATTTATCACTTGTATACAATTTATCTAGTGGTTTTAATTCTAAGGTTGTGTTGAAGTTGGGATAAACTAAGGCTTCTATGATGGAGATAAAATGACACCAGGAAAATACTGATTTATGAGAATAAAAGAATAAATAATGATTTCATTATTTCAATAATTATTTTATGTTAAAAGAAACCATTGCACCTTTATGTGTTAAGCTGGCCATACACTCCTACTGCCAAAATTCAAGCAGTGTGTGGCCCCATCAGTGCCCATCAAAAGTAATTTTTTCAATCAATTCTGTCTCAGGACTGGTCCAAAAATTCTCTGCAGGCGCACGTGCCATTGTCAGTATACAATAGCTCAGTGAGGGGATTGAGAAAAATGGATAATATATGGCCAGACTAAAGGTGCCCATACACTGGCCAAAATTCGCACAGTGTGTGGGGCTGTCGGCTCCCTTTCAGCTGACATGCCTCAATCAGCTGATCGAAGGAGCCGGCTGGAAAATGTTCGATCAATCAGAGCCGGCAGCCCATGAGCTGTCTGCTCTGATCAGCCGCCACCTGTCAGAATACAATGTATACAGCTGGATTCCTCGATCGCCCACGGGTTGAATGAAAAAATAGGTGTATGGCCAGCCTTAGTCTAGCCCTACACGTTTAGATGTCTCTTGTTCAGCCCTGAGGGGCTAACAAGAAAAATTAATCAATTCCCCCATCCAATAACCGGATCTGTGAGCATATGGTGTTCACAGGACTCTGCACCTTATATTGCATATTTCCCATCCAAGCTTAACAGAAATCTCCACCTGCTTGGTATTGTATTGGTATTGTATTCACTACCCGTGGCTGTCTGAATACCTGACCAGTGACGTCATCTGATTGTCAGTGTTCAGATGACAGTGTTCCACCCAGCTTGACTTTTGTGGACTTCAGCAGGAATTAGCCAAAAGTTGCGCCATGTATGGTCAGCTTAAGTTATATGAACTGAACTTTTTGATAAGAAAATGATCATGAAATGAAAAAACACACAGTTAAACGAATTCATGCAGCAAGGAAACGGGTTTCGGAATTTCTATGGTGACATAGAAAGCAGGAAGCTGTCTGTAAAGCAGGTTCCACAATGAAATCTAATAGTTTGGAGCTCCTTTTTCAGACCTGAGATCTCATCTGTTGGGTCATGAAAGCTATTAAGGAAGGTGTATACAGTATATCCTTGTGCACCTATACAAACATTAATTTGTGGATGTATGCTGTTCTATGGTTAGGGTTTAATGGAAGATGGTGTTTATTGCTTTTAACTAGTAAAAACATAATAAGATTATCCAATATTATACTTTAAAAGAAAATCATGTCTGGTTCTAGAAATCTCTGCATCATGTAGAGCTTGTGAAAATGGTTGTTATCTCTGAACGCTGCGTTTTGCATGTCAAATCTGTGCTAAGTAGACACATGGGATTGCTCTAGACTCAGTACATAGATTTGACAAGACTTTCACCTTGTAGCCCAGGAATAGCCAAATTGTAGCCCTCTAGTTGTGGTGAAGCTGCAAATCCTATCATGCCTCTGCCTCTGGGAGTCGAGTCTGTGGCTGTCAGAGTCTTGCAATGCTTTTTGGGACTTGTAGTTCCATATAGGGTTGCCACCTGTCCAGAATTCACCCGGACAGTCCGGGTTTTGAATGCTGTGTCCAGGTTTCATGGCAGCAGAAACCCGGACACAAGATGCCAGGCAGACAGGGGCAACCAAAATTAAGATAGGTGTTACTGGCCCCCCATTGAAAATAGTCTTAACTGTGATATTTACATATGAATGGGTGGCGCTATTTACATATGAATAAGCCACGACTCATTCTCCCCAAAAAATGTCTGTAAGTCGCTAGAGTGTTCGGGTTTCACTTGAAGAAAAGGTGGCAACCCTAGTTCCATAACAGCCAGAGGGCAACGTTTGGCTACCACTGTTCTAGTCCCAGCGCAGGGGCTCCATCTGATCTGCATTTGCCTGCGTTTGGGGAACATTTGAAACTGCAGGTATAGATGTGCAAACTTATAAATCAAAGCATAATTCAACCCCATAATCCATTCAGAAAAACAAAGCCCATTTATGCTAGGCCTTAAAATGTCATGACCATATGGAAGCTCAGCATGCATCATAATGGCCTATAGAATAAGGAAGATAAAGTTGAGCATATGTGATTCGCTGACTTGTTATAGATACAGTAATGTTAATGTGATTTTATTAAACAGCAAACAATGTGCAGTCATTTAAAAATGTAACCATGGTAGTTAGCTTGTATTTGAATTGTGAAGGGAATGATGCAAATGTAGGCACACGCTTAACATGTTAATCCGTCTTGCTGTGCTTTATGGAATATACCAAAAGACGTTTGTCTTTAGGAAATATTCCTGCATGCTGCATGTTTAATAAAGAGCGGACAGCTTTATCTACAGATCATGGGAGACAGCTGATAGCTTGGCTTTACTAGACAGAAAGTCATGGACCCAGAACAAGTATATATCGATCAGGAATTCTGAATTCTCTCATACCTTCAATTGCTGTATATGCATTCTAAATCAGTGACTGGGATGTTTTGCAGCCAGAGATAGCCAGGCAATCAGGATTGACAGAAGCAGGCCATCAATGGCAACCTCTGTATTTGCCACATGCCTGGTGTACTTTAAAATTAGCCTGTTCTTTGTCTACAAGAGGGGTACGCATGGATGTGCTAAATGGCCAAACACATTTTATTTTGTTTTGGATAGAGCAGGGAAGGATTTGAGCCTCTTTCAGTTTTTTTTGCCACCTAACCTAGTTAGAAGATATCTACTTACTCCCTGTCAGGACAGTAAGTAATGGGAAAGAAATGCAAAACCAATATTTTAGTAGCATGGGCAAGGGTTAAAACTTCTGATAGTGTTTTTACTATTATCTGGGCCTTTTTGTTCTGTTCCAGATATGGTCACATGCCCCATTTTTGTACAGGTGTCACAGGGACAGGAAGTAAGGCTAAATCCCACATATGTAGTCATCAACACATTTTACCTCTTCCCCTTACTATCCAAAACTAGACTGTCTGATTTTGGCTTTGTGTCTCTTTTTCTCTATGGTATTATAGTTAGTGGTTGTGCACTGATTAATGCCTGTATTTCTAGATGTCCCCTAGCATGTTCCTGCATTTCAAAGAAGCATTGTAAGTTATTGATATATAGACACGTAAAATTGGACAAAAAAAATTGAATTTTTCAAGTAAAAAAGAAAGTTCTACATTAAAATGCCTTTAAGATAAGAAGAATCTTTGAGATGTTGAGCTCATTATTATAAACAGAGCTGGTTGTGTTGCCTATTGCTTAAAGTCAGGTCCCATCATTCTGCTGTCAGTGACATATGGAATGTTATCAGCTGCTATGGGCAATACCTCCATTGTTCTTTCTTTTTTTTAGATATTGTTTATTTTACCATTTTTCTCTTTTATCTGCTTTTCATATATAATGCTCAGTGCCCTCAGGTTTAGACCTGAAACATAAATTAGACCAAAGTCCATCTTGTGGTTAAGGGCTTTAGTTGATGGGTCAATGCATCTTGCTTTCAGGTGCATTCGGCTTGCATTCCATAAGACTTTGAAACGCTTCTAAGATCTTTTTGTGAGCCCATCCACCGATACATTTGGCTTGCAGTTGATCAAGTTCTGAGTTGCATTTGAACTCCTTTTGACTTGCATTTCACCTTCTTCTAAGCTGCATCAACCTGCTTCAAGCTACATAGGCGTACCGATTGACTTGTATGCAGTCTTGACGGGAACAAAAGCCCATTGACACTGACCCTAAAGCAAGTTTGGCAAGAATTTTACTCTCTTGTAAAAGCGACCATACACAATGGCGTGACTGAAGTAATGTAGCAATGCCTTTGATGGTTATCTTTTCACTTGGAATTCACATCCATTGCACTGTGCTGAGATCCATGTAGGGTAATAAGAATGTCATCGTCCTATTAAAGTGACACTAAACTCAGGAATTAAATATTAAAAACACATTCAACACATTATATTAACAAAAATATATCTTATTTGTGTGTCACTCAGCTGTAGATCCTCAAATCATCTCTGAATTCATGCTGAGACTGTCCTTCCTTCTGGATGGCTACTTTTGTTCCCCATGGTCTCTGTAGTCACAACTGCAAGCTTGCTCCTCTGATGGACTGCAATCTCACATTTGGTCAACTAATCTATATATAGATTGTTGTCTATTACGGGAATGACCTTGGAGCGGTGGTTAGTTTACAACACACACAGGGACCATGGGAAACAAAAGTAGCCACCCTCCAGAAGGAAGGACAGTGTCGGCACCTATTCAGAGATGATTTGAGGATTTACAGCTGAGTGATACACAAATAAGATACATTTTTGTTATTAGTTAAGGTACTTGAATGCATTTTTAATGTCACTTCAATGTCTAAGGATA